AGCCGTCCTGTGTCATGGAATCACAGGGCTGGAAGAGACCTCAGGAGATCATCGAGTCCAGCCCCCGGCCCAATGCAGGACCTGTCCCAATTAAATGTGGCACCTTAGAGACACGCACTCTCTCTAGACACGTATATAGTATCATGAGCTTTCCCAGTGTTATTCTGGTGTGGCAGGGATATGATGAAGCCCTGTTTTCTGTCTGGAGCAAAGGCCCTAGGAAAATGTGTGCAGAGCTGCTCACCTCCAGGAAGCCAGCTCCTCCCAGTGTCACACCTGAAAGAGGCTCTTACGGTCAGGGATACAGAGCAATTAAGTTTGGGGCACCACCTGCAAGCTGGCCACAGCCTAAAGGCATAAGGTATGAGATAATGAGTAGAGTCCTGCAAACTGGCAGATACCTACTTTGTATTTGTATCCATAGCCACTGTTCATTTTTGCAGGTATGGCTATGAATACACGTACAAAGTTTGTATCTAGAACCCTACAAGTTTGCAGCTAGTCACTTTATATCTGTGGGTATCCACACCCACAGATGTCTGTGCAGATATTTTTGCAGATGCAGGTATAAATTTTGTATCTGCACAGGGCTCTAATGATGAGCCATTCATTCATGTAAGGGCCCCAAGTCCAGTGGATCCCTACATGGATGGCCCTGAGTATTGAGATGTGGGGAGTTACTGTCTCATCAGAAGCAAAAGACATGGGATACAGAGCTCTCTGTCATTTCAGCAAAAACAAGGAGTCTGGTGGCACTTGAAAGACTAAATTTATTAGTTTTTCAAGTGCCAGTGGACTCCTTGTTTTTTGCTGAAATAGACTTAACATGGCTACCGCTTTGAAATCTGATGACTGGATAAGGGATGGCTGAAAGGAACCTTTGCTTATGTAATGAAAGATAAAGACTACCTTGAAACTGGGGGTGCATCTACACTGCACCCTAAACTCGAAATAAGAAATGCAAGTTGTGCTACGCAAATTGTGTATTTTATTTTGATTTTATTTCAAAATAGGCTATTTCGATCCATTCCTTATTCCTCGTGCAATGAGGTTTATAGAGATGGCTAAATAGCATGTCCATTATTTCGAAAAATACTTAGAAATAATGGGTGTGTTCCCTTAGAGGACGGGTTGCTATTTCAGATAGCCAGTAAACATTACAAGCATGCTTGCCTGATAACTGATTAACTGGAGATCCGGGCACGGGGAGGGAAGGCACAGCCTCCCTCCCACTTTGGCCTGGACAGCAAGACCCCACTAGACTGGAGCAGTCCCCTACTCTCAGCATAGCAGGAGCCCAGACCCAGCCAGCAGCCTTGCTGTCAGTCACAGGAACCCAGCCATCCAAAGCAATTCCTTGCCTGCAGCTTGACGGAGTAGGACCCCAGGTGTCCAGAGCAGTCCTGAGGTGAGGTGGGATCTTGGCCAGCCAGAGCAGTCCCCTGCCCACAGCACAGCGGGACCCCAGCTGGCTATGGAAACCCCCAACCTGTGGCATGACCCCAGCTGATTGAAGCAGCCCTGCAGTGTGGCAGGATCATTGCCGGCTGGAGCAGTTGCCCTGCCAACACAAGGCCACCTGTGGCATGACCCCAGCTGATTGAAGCAGCCCTGCAGCGTGGCAGGATCATTGCTGGCTGGAGCAGCTGCCCTGCCAACACAAGGCCATGCTGGACCCTCAGCAATCTGGCTGTACCCCAGTTAACCAGTTAAATTATTAAAATTATATCATGTAATTGGTTAAGCTTTTTAATGAGAATTTACATCCCTACTTGAAATTATTTATTTAGAAGGTCACCATCAACTTGAAATCTAGTAATTTTGTTAATATGAATTAAGTCATTTCTGGTGACTATTGTTGTCTGCCATTTTTTTAGTCAATCACATTTTCCCCCTTTGAAAAATATTTGCACTTTCCCAGTGTGCTCCACTTCCCTTGGGATCCTGCTGCCATGAGAAGTATGGGTGTCTGTGATTGCTGCTGCTGCACAGCACTAGGCCCTCCCCAGTGATCCCAAAGCTGCATCCTCAGGGATGGGGTGCCATGAGGGGCAGAGACCAGGGTGTTGGTGGGACAGGGCAGGATTTGGGGTTGGTAGCAAATAGGGCCTCCCTGGCCCACCAGGAGTCCCAGACTGCATTGCACAATTGCTCCAACAGGTGATGGCTTGTGGGCTGAGAGTTTGAGATCGCTGCCGTAAACATTCTGCATACAGAACAATGAGGTAAATACCCATTATGTTTGCAGCACTGAGTCCATTTGCCCCTGCCATTTCCATGGTGCAAATGACCCAAAAGTTTTCCCTCTTACTCCAATAATTGTTATTTATATTACAATAGTGCCTAGAGGTGTCCTATTCATCAGAAATGTGCAAATGTGCACCACCAGAAGGAACACAAAACCCAGCCTTGGGTGCCCTGCTAATCAGCTGGGTGGCATTTGAATCACTCCCGAGTGACTGTACGTGCACAGCTTACAGGGAACACTGATTACATGACCTGTTCCAGTATTTTTAAATGTAACAGGGTTGTCTATGAGAAAGCTGATGGGTCCCAACATTATCCTAAAGCATGAAACTGAAGTATGTGTTTAAGTGTTTTGCTAAATCAGGGCCATTGTCCTGAAATGATGTTGTGATATGATGGTGTTTAGATGGGAGATAATATTTGGATGTGCTTTACTCCTGCCAGAACAGAAGGTTGTGTGGTGGCATGATCACAGAGCATGATGGCACTGCATCAGAATGCTGTGGTATCAACACTGCCTCACAAGAGTTCCTAGCCTTGACACCACACAATAGCAGGGCCGTCAGACTGTCCCTGTGCCATGCTGGAGAAGGATGGTGATATGTGGCGTGCCATGCACAATGTGACACCCGGGGAGCGGGGGGAGGTGGCATGCTGTGTCCCCATAACAGGGTGATGAGCACAGAAGGTGGGGTGGGGGTGGAGAACAGACTAAAGTACTGCTGTGGGGAGAGAAAGAGAATGGACATTAATGCAAACATTGGAACATTATAGTGACCCCAGTCACCTCCCTCATGCTCCCCCATCTCTTCCTCCCTCTCCCTTTGTCCCCCTTTCTAGCGCTCTCCCGGCCTGGTGTTCCCATTTATCCCTCAGCGTCTCCTCCATCGCCTCCCCCTTGTATGTCCTTCCTTCCCCCTCCCCCGGCGTCCTCTCTCCTCCCGCGTCCCATCCCTGCCTGGGGACTCCCCAGCTCAGCCTCCCAGGCCCAGCCCCGCCCCCAGGGCAGGCGGAGTCGGGCTCTCCAGCCCCCCACCGCCCGCTCCGCCCCTCTGGCGAGGAAGAAGAGGGAGGCCTGGGGTTCTGGACTCACATGACCGCTGGCGAGATGGACGGGGAGGTGTCCGCAGGCGCGGGGGGAGCCGGCACAGGTACGGAACGGGGCAGCGGGGAGGGGGGCTGCCTTGCCCAGGGTGCCGGGGCTGCTCTTCCTCCCGCCCGCCCAAGGACGCGTAGCGCTGCAGGAGGGTGTCACTCCCCCCACCAAGGGAGCTGGGCGCAGGAGGAGGAGGTGTTGAGGTCTGTGTCCCCCACACGCAAGAAAGTCTGGTGTAGGAGGACGGGGTGTCGGGGTCTGTTCTCCCCCCCTCCCCAAGGGAGCCAGGTGCAGGGGTGCGTTGGGGCTGTCTCTTCCTTCCCTCCCCAGCTGGGAGAGGACATGGAAGGTAATGCGTTTCAGGGCTCTCTCTTTCGTCTTCAGAAATATCCGGGCTGTTTTGCGTCCTCTGCCCTCCCCAATGAGTTAGTCAAAGGAGAGTGTTTGTCAGCGCTTCCCTCTCCCCGTTCAAAAAAATGCTGAGGAAGCATGTCAAGCGTTGCCTTCCCCTCTGATGAGCTGGGGAGGGGGGGCATGGAAGCTCCTACCAGGGCTGCCCCATTCCATTCATTTTCAAAGGGACTAGACCCTCCCCTCTGCAGGGTGCTGTAGGGTACTAGAAGTGCTAGGCACAGCCTTGCCTCCCCATACCTTGGTGATGACCAAGCCACAAAGAGGCGTGCTAACTGGCCCAGTGACTCTGTGCATCACAGGATCTGTTCAGCAAGCCAGATACTAGCCTTTCCAAGGTTTTTATTTCAGGCAAGAGTCCAAACCGTTTTCATGTTGTGCTCAGCCTCCTTGTGTAACAAGAGTACTGTAGTAAACTGCGTTTGGCAGATGTTGGTGCCCGCCTGCAAGGGAAGCTGTTATCACTGCGGGGTAGAGAGGGCTAATGAGTTGCAAAGTGGAGTGTTTTTATACTGAATGAATTGTGAAGAAGACCACTGCATATTCAGAACACCATTTACCTTTGTTAAATATGTGGATACATTTTTAATGGTTCCCGTCTCCATAATTTAATCTGAAAACAAAATAGTCTATAGCATAGTGGTTCTCAACCACCAGTCCGTGGACCAGTGCGGGCCATGAACCTGTCTGATGGGCTGCGGCACATTGCCAGGCCATGCCCCCAGCTTTTGTTTAGTTCCCCCCCCCGGGGCTCCCAGGGAATTCCCTTCCTGCACTCTTCCCCATGCAGGAACAGGGTGAGTGGGGCGGCTGAGCTGGGTGTGCTGCAGCTGGAGCAAGGCTGTTCCTATGAGACTAGGGATGTTAAATATCCGTTAATTGAATAGTCAAGTAACCTCATGAAATTTTATCAGTCAACTATTCTATAATCCCAGGGGGTGGAGCCAACAGCCACTGTATCAGAGACAGCAGTGCAGGGTGTCAAATGGGAGCTGGTCCACAAGGGGAGCCAGTTTAAAAACCAGCTCCCCTCATGAACCAGCTGCCTGTCACCCTGTGCTGCTGCTTCTGAGAAAGGGGCAGCAGCACGGGGTGGCAGTAGTCCCTGTTTAGGGAGAGTCTGAGCTCCCGGACCCGGCCTGAGCCAGAACTGAGATGGGCTGCCTGCCTGCCTGCCTGGCTCTGATACCCCCATTTCAGCTCTGCATTTCAAGTGTATGTCTTGGATCCAGCATGAGCCAGGACTGAGCCGGGCTGCCTGCCCATCCAGCTCCTCATACACTTCAAATGCAGAGCCCCAGCAGGGGTAAGTCCTGGACCCTGGCTCTGATACCCCCATTTCAGCTCTGCATTTCAAGTGTATGTCTTGGATCCAGCATGAGCCAGGACTGAGCCGGGCTGCCTGCCCATCCAGCTCCTCATACACTTCAAATGCAGAGCCCCAGCAGGGGTAAGTCCTGGACCCATCGCAAGCCAGGAATGAGTCAGGCTACTGGCCAGCCTGCTAAAAATGTATTGGCAGGGAGAGGGGGAGAGGGAAATGCGTGTAGTCTATAGCATTAACCTATAAACTTTTGCTTATTGTTAATCAACTATACTATTACATCCCTAACTGGGGCCCCAGTTCCAGCTCCGGCAATCGCTACATGGCTTTGCTGGTGGGGCCAAGCACCAGGTGGAAAGCGGCTACCCTGGTGCTCCTGGAACCCTATTCTTCTCCCTCCCGCTTGGTAGGAGGCTCCCTCTGGCCTCCAGCTGCTCCGAGCCAGCAGATACACACATTACTATTATGCATTATTAAGAGCATAGGAAAATATGAATGTGCAGAATGTGTCAGCAGTCAGACCTGTTAGTACTGCCTCTTTAATTCTTGTGCAACTGAGGCAAAATGTTTGGACTGGAGAACAGTGGCGGATATCGAGCAGGGCGGCTGCCCCGGGCCCCGCGCTTCAATAGGCCCCGTGCCTGGTGTTTTAAAACTCTCATCCGCCCTGCTTAGAGCCGGGTCGGCACCAGTCTCCCCAGAGGTTAATCTCCCCCCCCCCCCCCTCCCCCCCCCCCCCCCCTGTCCCCTCCGCACAAGCCCATTGGCTGGACCTGGACAATGGCAGCTGCGGGAACCCACCAATCACTGCTCCCCTCAGACTTTTAATCCCCCAGCACATGGCCAGGCAGGGCTGTGGGAGAAACGGGCGAGCGGCGCTTCTAGGTAAGTGGCCCCCAGTCACTCCCACTCCGATATCTTCACCCACATAGCCCTCCTCGCAGACCCTGCACCTGAACCCACCAATCACTGCTCCCCTCAGACTTTTAATCCCCCAGCACATGGCCAGGCAGGGCTGTGGGAGAAACGGGCGAGCGGCGCTTCTAGGTAAGTGGCCCCCAGTCACTCCCACTCCGATATCTTCACCCACATAGCCCTCCTCGCAGACCCTGCACCTCAGTCCCCTGCCCTGGGGCACAGTCCAAACCCCTGGCCAGACCCCCCCCAGGCCTGCTGGTCCCCAGCCCGTTTGTGTGGTCCCCAGCTGATTTTTCTGTGGGGCCAGTGGACCCTAACCCAAGAGAGGTTTCCCACCCCTGCCACAAATACAGGAGGCCCCTGCTTTATAACAGCCCGATTTACAACCCTCCTCCCCCCACCATGATGAACTTTTTCCGAAGTGGGGAAGGGGCCAAAATCCCCCAATTTACGTCCTTGGCCTATTGTAAATGCAGGCTCGAGTTAGGACTAGGGTTTCCAGGTGTCTGGTATTGGCCTTGACAGTCCAGTATTTGTGGCTTCTGGCAGGTAAAAAAAACCCAGAAAATACCGGACCAGTAAAATGTCTGGTATTTTCAGTTTTTCTCAGCTGGAAAGCCACTTGGGACGTTCTTGCCCTGCCATGAATGGGGATGGGGAGTGTGAGATGAGTGTGAGATTTAAAGGTGCCATGATTTTTTTTGGGGGGGGAGGGCACTTTTTTTGCTCAACATTTGGATATCCCTCCCCTTTTCATTACTGCAGAATTTTGTTTAAAAATGAATTACAATATAATTAGAATAAAAATTATCTAACGAAATTAAGTTTCTATCAAATTTACCCAATTCACATTTAATAGGAAAATAGCCTTCGATGTGTGCATTTGATGCCTTTTTTCTATTTTTTTTCTCCAAAGGGGGGCCCGGAGAAATTGTGCTGCCCTGGGCCCCGCAAAACTCTCATCCGCCCCTGCTGGAGAATGCACTTTAACAAGTATTAACAAATATTTTATTGTTTTTTTTAAATGTGTGTGTGCAGCACTTTTTCAAATTCTGGCTAACCATCATGTCCCCCCTCCTTTGATTTGCCTAATATACCATAGGCTAAAATTGTCCTAATGAATATGCAAATAAATAAATTACCATAACTATGCAAATATTTCAGTGCTGGTCTGCCAAAGGTTTTTTAATGAGTTTGCTGGTCCATGGTATAAAAAAGGTTGAGGACCACTGGTCTACCACACTGGTTTTCAGACAATGGATCACGACCCAGTACTGGGTCGTGGAATATCAGGCACTGTGTTTCATTGGTGCAGGGGGATCAGGTGACCAGTGGGGGTGCTAAGGCAAGCTATCTGCCTGTCTTGGTATCGCAGATTGCACTGTGCCCTAGAAGCGGCTGGCGGCAGGCCTGGTTCCAGGGTAAAGAGGGAGGGAGAGAGTGCACAAGGCTCTGCTGTTGTCTGCGATCCTGTTGCTGGCTGCTTCTTGGGTGCAACATGGTCTGCGGTGCCAGGAGAGGCAGGAAGCCTGCCTTAGCACCCTCACTGCACTGCTGACTGGAAGCTGCTCAAGATAAGCTTGCCCCATCTCTGAGCCTCTTCAAAGCCAGAGGTCTCTCCTACATCCCAAAGCTCTCATCCTCAGCTCCACCCTGAAGCTTAAACTCTAGTCAAATTATGTTGGGTCATGGGCATCCACAATTTTCTTCAACTGGGTCATGAGAACAAAAGTTTGAAAACCCCTGGTCTAGCAGACAGTGAAACACTTTCATTGATTATGATGTTTTGAATGAAAATGGCAGCACGTTCCTTCAGTGTTGGTTATACAAGGAAAAAGGGAGGGAGCTTCTTATGTGGCTTATTTATTTGTTTTTAAAATATGCTTTTTAAATTTACTAGACTCCTGATAGTTAAAGATGGAAGGGGGGAGGGACAGCTGTATTGTCATCTCCATCTTTCTGAAAGGCCTCCTGAAAATCATCTCTTGGTAGGTCTTCACCAAATTCAGGGCCATTTTGGTCAATTTTGTAGTCCTAGGATTTTAACATAGAAATTTCAGATTTAAATAGACGAAATTTGTGGTGTTTGTAATTGCCTCAAAAAGGAGTTTTGTGTGTCTGGGAGGTGGGGTGTTGCAAAGTTATTGTGGGGAGAGTTGTGATAGTGCTACTCTTACTGCTGTGCTGTTGCTGTTGATAATAATGCCTTCAGAACAGGGCAGTTAGATAATGGCAGCTGCTGGCCAGGATCCCAGCTCTGAAGACAGAGCTGCTGCCAGCAGCAGCGCATAAGTAAGGATGGCATGGTATTTATACCCTTACTTAAGCACTGCTACCAAGCAGAGCCAGGCCCTCAATTAGCAGCTGCCACTGTCTGGCTACCCAGCTCTGAAGTAGCAGTG